AGGAGTACAGTCTATTGTGTCCCAGATGAATAAAAGTTAATAACCTGTGATCCAGACCCAGATGGATTTGGATTGAGATGGGAAATCCTTCTCTTCTCCCTCCTTGCAGCCGGTGAGGATGGCGTCTGAGTCCCTATACCCTCTGCCTCAGACCTCACATCGAGGGGTGGAGCTGGGACTCGCAAGAAAGAGAGCCGATGTAGTTGGATACCGAGTCCGGAACGTTGTGAGTCATCGGACGGATTGTGGAGACCTGGCTGACTCCTCCAAAGTTTCAACCGTAGAACACCTTGCCTTACGCGTTTTGTAGGGTTGGCCCTACTTCATCAGAGGCTTGTACTCTCCCTTATTGGCAGTAGTTAATATACCTTGAATCAATTGCTTTCAATTAACTGGATTTCAAATTATCAATACAAGATTTTTTTTCAAAATTAACGAACATATGTTACTCTGGTAAACAGATGAAGAATGTATGAATAAAGAGTCCATGGAAAAGAATGACGAAGTGAAAGCATTTCAAAGATGTAAAAAATGCTTAGGTTGCAGAAGTAATTCTACTCAGGCAGATGTCAGTACATCCTTTACAGGTTTAAAAGATTCGAAGAAGTACAAGCTGAAGTCACAGATGACCTGCAACACTGCAGGGCTCATCTACCTTATTAAATGTTCATGCCCAAAGCATTATGTAGGACGAACAAAGAGAGAACTTAAAATAAGGATTGCTGAACATGTCAGAAACATTAGAAGAGGGTTACTGACACATAACTTATCAAGACATTTCAAGGAAATACATGGCGGTGACCCGACAGGCCTAGAATTTATAGCTATAGAGAAAGTCGATATTAATTGGAGGGGGGGTGGGGATCTTGAAAAAGATCTGGACCAAGCAGAGGCAAAATGGATTTTTTTCTCTCAACACCTTAGTACCTGAAGGTCTAAACGTGGACTTTGAGCTAAATGCCTTTTTAAGATGGTTATATTTTCGACTGTCTTTTGTTCTTATCTCCACCTCTTATTTTTTATCCCTAGTTTTTATCCCTGATTCCTACTATCTTAGACTTATTGTACTAATTATTTCTCCTAATAGTTATTAGGAACCTGGGATTATATATCGCACAACATTTTTATCTTATTTTTTATTCACTTTTAGGATTCACCATATATTCTTCTAAATGCTTTTAATCTATCTATTATTTATTTATCACTTAATAGAAGATTTATCCTACACATGTAAGTCACACTACCACCATTTTTTATTCTTCTCACATGATACATTGTCAAGTGTAGGTTACCGATTAAAGATAAGGAACCTCACAAGAGATGTTGGGCTATTCTAATAGATATATAAGATTTTCTTGTAATTACACTACACATTATAGTATTATCCTTATCCTATACTATTCTCTCTTCTCCTCTTTTTAGGTTTGGAGATATAAAAACATTTTTTGATTCTGATTAGGTTCTCACTATACAATAACTACTTATAGATTGTATTTTGTACGACATACACATGCCACTTAAAGGAAGGACAGATGTGTGAACTAGGTCTGTATATTGGTAACAGCTGCCAAAAGTCTATTTTTCACTACTACATTTTTTTCAGTCACAAGCATATTCTATGATAATAATTATATTCATATCTCTATCATGCACTAAATTGAAAATATATATGTATTGTATGTGATCACCTGAACATTTTTTTTTTTCAATTCTTTATTTAACATTTAGCATTGACATAACATGCTGACGCACATAGGTAACAATCACTTCGGTGACATACAGCGCTTTTATACACTATGTAAGACCTGATATACCAATGTGTACATATCACCTATCCTCCCATATATTCCACTGTGCATTGCACCGAGTCTGCGGATTGAATGTGCGTCCGTCTGGCTCTCTATCAGTCGCTTTCCAGGTCAATGCCAGTTTTCTTATTTAAAAAGAACTCAAAACGAACAGACAGAAAAGAAGAGTTTTGTCTCCATCCCCCTAATATTGATCTATTTCGCTCCCCCCGGTCCACTGGTCCTCCAACCCCATCTCTCCCTCCCGTCGACTCCCCCCAGTAGGACTGAACATTTGTTTTTTAAAAGTCAAGTCATAAATTGTTTATAGATTGTTCATAGATTGACAACCCAATCCATTTAAGGCTAGAAACAACTCTCAAATTAATAATACCAAAATTTGCATAATAAATTCTTTATTCATACATTCTTCATCTGTTTACCAGAGTAACATATGTTCGTTAATTTTGAAAAAATCTTGTATTGATAATTTGAAATCCAGTTAACTGAAAGCAATTGATTCAAGGTATATTAACTACTGCCGATAAGGGAGAGTACAAGCCTCTGATGAAGTAGGGCAACCCTACGAAACGCGTAAGGCAAGGTGTTCTACGGTTGAAACTTGGGAGGAGTCAGCCAGGTCTCCACAATCCGTCCGGTGACTCACAACGTTCCGGACTCGGTATCCAACTACATCGGCTCTCTTTCTTGCGAGTCCCAGCTCCACCCCTCGATGTGAGGTCTGAGGCAGAGGGTATAGGGACTCAGACGCCATCCTCACCGGCTGCAAGGAGGGAGAAGAGAAGGATTTCCCATCTCAATCCAAATCCATTAGGGTCTGGATCACAGGTTATTAACTTTTATTCATCTGGGACACAATACACTGTACCCCTACCTCATTATCTAACCGTTATTTTTCTATTTTAAGTATTTTTATTGAAATAAATTTTGTCAGTTTTTAACCACTAGGTTTTTTATATATTTTTTCAAGGTGACTGTTTTAGGCATTTAGTCCATCTATACTAAAATTGCCAATTGTTTTAATTTGGATTTTTGGATCTCTCTTAAAACTTTCTATCGATATTTAAAGTAGATCATATTTACAGGTACTTTGTTTACCCAGCACTGTTACTACAGGCCGAGTCATAGTTACTTGTGATACATAATAACGGAAGGATTAGTTACAGAGTTAGAATAAGAACCATTCTTCAAGGACTGTTTATTTGGGATAATTCATCATTCCAGTACAGAATTGTAATCCCATTGTGAGACACATGAAATTCTTGTGTATACTATTAATTTGTGCCAATCTAAATTCTGGTATTATATCCATAAATTTGTGGATTTGATTATATGTCTGAAGCTATACAAAACACATTTTCTCTATATTACTGTTAGAAGGTTTCTATTTTCAAGCTCCTGGATACCTGCACCTTAGGGTGGTTTGTATTTTGTCTCTTATATGGTTAGGTGAAATCCTACATTTCCAGTTTTGAGCACACCGTTTATTGTTTTTATTCCCTCTCAATCTGTCGCTCTCCTTTGATAGCTTCAGAATTTCTATTTATCACAGGCTATTTACCTAGGAGTGTTTTGACACTTTCTACGTAGCCATTTCACCGCCAACCTCTGCTAAATATTGAAGTAAAATTGTGTTTTTTTTGGTTTTTGGCACACAAACTTATAACAAAGAAATTCTAATGTGTATTTTGTAAAGTTTGTGTGTGCTATTCCTGTACAAAGTTTTTTTTTTTATGTTCAGTTACATCTGCTGAGTAAAATGACACGCCCATTGTATGTCTTTGGCACTATTTCAGGAAGTTACAGTGCCATATAGGAGGCCTGTTCTTTTCCGTATTCACAGTAGAATTTTGAGAGACGGATTTAATGAGCCTATGCTTCCATTTGGGGTATTATAACAGTTTGACTGTTCAAAAAAGCCCACGAAAGCCTACTATTTGTAAAAGTAGACACTCCAGGGTATCTCATAAGGTGCATATTGTGCCTTAACATGCCCCCAATTTTTCACCAATATATGCCAAAGTATGTGGTAAAAAATAATTTTGTGCGTTTTTTACTCATGGATTGCATTTTTCCTGGGCATTTTGTATATTTCACATGTGCCACTAAGTTCAAACCCCCCAAATTATGCTCAGCTAAGTCTTCTGAGTAAAATGACACCCCATTGTATGTCTTTGGCACTATTTCATGAAGCTACAGTGCTATATAGGAGACCAAGCCATATCAGTTTTTACCGAACTTTGAATTTTGACGCTGGGCCTATGTGCAATTTCCAAGCATCTTAGCAGGGTTTAAATTAAAACTACCCCACAAAGGCCTACCATTTCGTAAAGTAGGCACCCCAGGGTATTTCAAAAGGTATATTTTGAACCTTAGCGTGGGATCATTTTTCCGCTAGCTTGTACCAAGTGTAGTGATAGTAAGTGTTTTCTGCCTTTTTGACACACAAAGTGAGTTTGCACAGTATATTTTGCAATCCTTATGTGTGCTACCAGTGTATAAAACTTCAGATGTTGCTCAGCTATGTCGTCTGAGTACAGCAATACCCCCGTATGTACCTTTGCCAGGTAGATGTGGATGTTGAAGGGGCGCATTTGAGACGCAGCCATTCAGTTTTTTTCTACCTTTGAAGTTTTACGCTGTGTCCATGTTCCAATTTGGAGTAGTTTAGACGGTTGGTTATTGAAACATCCCCACAACCACATACTATTTATTAAAGAATACACCCTGGGGTAATTCAAAAGGCATATTTTGAACCTTAGCGTGGGATCATTTTTCCTCTAGTTTGTTCCACGTGTAGTGGTAATGAGCGTTTTTAAAATGTTTTTTTTTTTTTACTTTTTGAAACTTGTTTTTACTTTTAAAAACTAGTTTTTAAACTTTTTGTTTTGATTATTAATTTTTTTTAAACTTTGTTTTTTTTTTGTTTTTTACAGATTTAACATTTTTCGAAGCTTTTTTTTTTTTTAACCGTTAACCCCTAACTAGCAGTAAGCAGAACTAACAGTAAATTCCCCGTTTTCCCATAACTCCCACCCACCCCAGCTAGCAAAATATATAATTATACAATATTTAAATTAATTAAATAAATTGAGGGGGTGTGGCTTGACCGGCAATGTGAGCGGTCGCAACCTAACTGAGCTCCCGCTCAACCTCTTCTAAACAGCCGCCAAACTGCAATCGGAGGATAAGATGGGTAACAAAAAGAAACCCCATACAGCCCATAAGACTCCTAGTCAGGCGTCAAGCAAAAAAGCTGTCGATCTGGACCGCTACTTTTGAGATAAAGTAAAGGCGCTCGCAGAGACAGAAGCGGATGAGCCACTATCTTCTCGACGTGCACCGCCGCCAAACAGCCCGACGAGTTCTAAAACCTCCACCTTATACGGCAATAGCAAACTACAGGAAATAATACAAAACCTCCCATCCAAAGGAGACATAGCATCTATGCTGGCGAAGCTAGATGCCTCTATACATGAGAAACTGTCCTCCATTACTAATGAGGCAAGACAAAAAGGCCTGAGGGTGGGAGATCTGGAAGGGGATAGAGATAACATTCAGCTGCGGGTCCATACTCTGGAACAGAGACAGGATACACAGGACGCCAGAATTGTACAGATACTACGCCACACAGAAGACCTCGATAATAGGGGCAGAAGAATAATAATCTTCATGTCAGGGGCATCCCAGAGTCACAGAGGGACCCCGAAAATATCAGAGATGCTACAAACTTTATTCAATAACATACGACAACGTCCAGTAGAAACACCCATATTAATGGACAGAGCTCACAGGACTCTTGTTGGGACTCACATAGCGCATAGTCTGAAGCATCTGACTATAGGAACTCTTGGGCCTGATTGGGGTTACGGACTCTTTAAAACCTAGAAATTCCTAAGGAGAAATGACAACACACACGGAGGATGCATGTAATGTATATATAACATATACAGGGAACTCGGTTGTTCTATAACAACTCTAGTTAATAGCATGTAATAACATACTTTAAGATATCTGAAGGGGGATAGGAAGTAATTAAATCGGTTGCATACTAGAGGAGGGACGGGGATGGAAGCAAAGGGAAAGGGACCCCTAACATGGTGGAATTAGACCAAATGGCACCCAGTATGAAACTATGTAAAACCCTATCAGCCGTAGCCATCATTCCTCCTCCCACAACTACCAGGGTTAATGGATATATACAAAAGTATTTAGTATGAAGTAACCAAAAAAAAAAAAGTTAATACAATTATCCAACCCATGAGAACTGAACCAACCCCCCCCTTTTTTTTTGAGGTGTCTTGAGGGAATCAAGAACCTATAGCTTTAAAGGGGCCGGACTCAGAGACTTTTATTTATCAATGTCTATCAGGGGGATTAATGTTGTTTTGGAAATGTTTTGAACTGTTATATGTGAATTTCCATTGGAAGTACCTTACAATATTGTTTTCCCACGCACACTCACATGCTGCACACATACACTAACATAACAGTTCAGTCGAATGCGATACAAGGACATGGTCGAGCCTCCAGACATGCACTCCTAGAGTTAAACCCATCTAGATACTATGGCTCATACTAGCGCAGGGAGGCGCAAAACCTGTAAGTGAATTCAAGAGAGGTTGTAGGGAACCACGACAGTTTCCTATAAATCACTAAACATATACGATCAACGGCCACGATTGATAACACCCTTTAAAATAAACCAAATATACAACCCCTAACGAACCATTAGTGGTTCCGAGTGGTACAAAACCAATAACAAATAATACAGGACGTTTATTCCCGATTCAGTAACTGTTGCTGAAGGGGAGTATATTAAGTACCGACTCCCTGATAGTTGGTGAAGACACCAACTCCTGTTAGTGAATTCTGAACCCAGACATCACACTTGTGATTTTAAGTTACATTGCTCATTTCAGATAAGTTTTACATTCTTTAGTTCATTTATTTTAAAATTGTTCTTTGTACAGCATCATATACATTTGGACTTCGCAACCGATAGTAAATACCCCACGAGAATGACGATGACATGTAAAAAAACCAGACAACTACAATAGACTCAATAAATATAGTATCCTATAATGTCAGGGGACTTAATGCCCCCGAGAAGAGAAACATAGCACGTAGACTCCAAGCTGACGTAGTGTTTGTACAAGAAACACACTTTAGGAACCCAAAAGCACCAAAACTAACATTATCCTCTTGCATACTACAACAACCGCACCCAGAGCAAATCACAGGGAGTAGCAATTTTAATCAAGGCACAACTCCCCTTCACCTATCAAAATAATTTTACTGACAATTCAGGGCGCTTTATCATACTGCAAGGCTCGATAGGCAACCAGCCCATCACATTTGTGAACATATACCTACCGAATATTAAACAATGTCACACCTTGCATAGGATCATCAACAAAGTACAACAGCACGCATCAGGTATATTAATAATTGGGGGAGATTTTAACATATCTATGGACGGTGTCAAAGACAGCACAGTGCCACAATCTAAACATCTAAACCATACAAGAACACAGATGAGACACCTCCTTCACGGTCACCAGCTGGTAGACTGTTGGAGGGCCTTACACCCTACAACAAAGGACTACTCCTTTTATTCTAGATCAGCATCCACAAGAATTGATCTCTTTCTTACAACTCAAAAGGGACCTCTCATTAGTGACCTCAGCAACAATAAATAATTGGTCCGATCATGCTCCGGTTCAGTTAGCACTAAAAGTCCCATCCATGGCCCAAGGAAAAGGCCAATGGATATTAAACACTTTTATTCTACACAATAATCCGGCCAAGAGAGCCATAGCGAACACAATTTCCAATTACTTCCAAGACAATAATACGCAAGACACTACACCCTATCTCCAATGGGAAGCACATAAGTGCATGGTAAGGGGGGGAATTAATAAAATGGGGCTCTTTTATTAAGAAAGAACAAATCAAGAAACAACAGGAGCTTTTACACAATATAAAAAACTTGGAGGAGGTACATAAGGTCACCATGTCAGAAACTGACTATAGGAAACTATTATCCCTCAGATTAGAGCTGACTTTACTTTTACAAACCAAGGCAAAAAAATCCTTAATTTGGAACAAACAATTATTCTATGCCCAGGGAAATAGATGTGGGAAACGTCTGGCTAATGCATTGAAACAGAAAAGTGGGAAAACGTACATACCACAAATTAAAACAACCAACAACAGGATTGTACAAACAAATGAGGAAATAGCAAAGACCTTCAGGGAATTTTATCACTCTTTATACAATATTACGAAAGACTCCCAAGATAAAGATGTGATCAAGGCGTATCTAGCAGATAAATTTGATCAAGTATTTCCACAGGCAGTCTCTAAGTCCTTGGACGAGCCTCTCTCATTGACGGAACTCACACACACTATTAAAAATACTCCCTCAGGTAAAAGCCCAGGTCCTGATGGATACTCTGCCTCCTATTACAAGACTTACACAAAAGAACTAGGCCAACACCTCCTCCATGCCATTAACTCCATAAATCTAGAACATCCTATACCAAAATCAAGTTTAGAAGCCAATATTACCCTTCTCCACAAACCGGGGAAAAACCCAGACCTCTGTAGCAGTTATAGGCCAAACCAGATATGGACTGGTTTGCGCACCCTCCCTCCCTGGATACAGTAAAACTGCACATTTTAGAGTGGCCTTTTATCGTGGCCAGCCTAAGGCACACCTGTGCAATAATCATGCTGTCTAATCAGCATCTTGATATGCCACACCTGTAAGGTGGATGGATTAGCTTGGCAAAGGAGAAGTACTCACTAACACAGATTTAGAAAGATTTGTGAACAATAATTGAGAGAAATAAGCCTTTTGTGTACATAGAAAAAGTCTTAAATTTTTAAGTTCAGCTCATGAAAAATGGGGGCACAAACAAAAGTGTTGTGTTTATAATTTTGTTCAGTGTATATATGTATATATGTTATTGCAAAAGGAGACACTGAACAATTGTTGGGAGAGATAAGAGGAAAACCACGAGAGGACAGTGTCAGAGACCGAGGGATTGAATAATGTGGAGAAGGAGGACATGATCAACATTGTCAAGGGCAGCAGAGAGGTCAAAAATAATTAGTATAGGGTAGTGGCCTTTGGATTTAGCTGCGATTAGGTCATTTGTATCTTTAATAAGAGCAGTCTCAGTAGAGTGGAGGGGGCGAAAGCCAGATTGAAGAGGATTGAGGAGGTAGTTGGAAGTTAGGAAGTGAGTCACACGAGTAAAAACAAGTAATTCTAGAAGTTTTAAGGAAAAAGGAAGCCGGGATGTAGGAAGATAGTTGGAAGGGTAAGACAGGTCTAGATATGGCTTTTTTTTTTTAGGATGGGTAAGACAGTAGCATTACCGGATGAAAGAGAGCAGTTTAGGATGTGTGTTAAGGATGGTACAAGACAAGGGGAGAGAGATCTGATAAGGTGGGAAGGTACTGGATCAAGCGCGCAAGAGGTGGGACGAGAGAAGTGAAGCCACCTCCTGTTCTGTAGCTGGGGAGAAAGCCTGTAGGGTAGGGTAGGTACGGTCCATATGTGGTTGCAAAAGGGAGGAGCAAATGGGGGAGAATTCTTTCCTTAAGTGTTCAATCTGGTCGGTAAAGTAGCATGCAAGGCTATTTGCTGAAAGGTCAGTTTGAGGGGTGGTTTGAGGTGGACGAAGGAGAGAGTTGAAGGTATTAAAGAGATGCCTGGGATTGCGTGAGCATGAACTAACAAGAGAAAAGTAGGATTGTTTAGCAAGGGTGAGGGCTATGCTATATGAACACAAAATGAATTTATAATGGAGGAAGTCTGACTAAAGTGTGAATGGTCAGGAATTTAACACCACTCAAATTTTAGGTGAACATGAATACATTGCAGACTTATGGACTTTTTCTAGTTCAGCTATGTTAAATCCTGACAGTTTACATTTTAATGAATAGAAAAAAAAATCATGCTGACATGATTAATATAGATTTGAACTTTGTGTACTTTTTATTTATTTTTGTGCTAATAAATCCATTAGGGTTAGAAGTAGCCGACTGTCCTAGAGTGCTCCATTGTCCCTAGTAGTCCACTACCAAAGTAACCTAAGCAGCACAATCGCAGGTTTCCTATGGTAACCTTATGAGCTCAGGTTCTCTAAAAAAAAAGGAGTGCAAAATATAAATGTGTAACTCCACATTGGACTTTTGGATCACCTTTATCCTGAAATCCACTTGCAAATAGATGGAACAGAGGAAATATATTGCAGATTTGTGGGACAGTTATGCAGTATGGAAAGAAAATATCCATATTTCTAGAATTCACATTAGTCTTGGATGGATTAATTTCTGGTTCTCAAAACATTTTTGACATTTGTCAATTACAGTAACACAGTTTGTGCTTCAGCTACACACTAATAAGGAATACTGGTAGCAATGGAGATGAGAGGTGTATTTATAAATGTTGGCTGATGTTGGAACACTCATTGGAATCTAAATTTAATGGAAACAGTGTGAAGAAATTACCGTAAGGGAATACAGAGAAGACAATGGTTTTTCACTTTTTTTTTTTCCTCACAAAGATCTAGCCTATATTAGCTTGTCAAGACATTTCTTTTTATCCGACAAGTATTTTCATGCTAAAGTTACCATTTTGTAAGCCTTGGAACTTTATCCGCTTGTTTTATACTTATTCATAGCCGGTTACTATATAAGTTGGTTAAATGACTGCTCGTGTATTATAAATTTGATCATCTTACATCTGCCAACAGTCACTCTTCATGACCATAAACCTCTCCAGAACAAAAACAAAACCATAGCCATTACAAAGTGTGAATCCAGCCAATGTTTAATGGTAATGATATGCTGAGAGGTAAACAGAAGGGATT